CTGACTCATGGCAACACCATTTGTGTCAGAGTACAACTGTGCTCCATAGGGTTTGTAAAAAATATTTTATTGTTTTCTGTGAAAGTTTACACAGCAAATTAGGTTCCCATTTGACAGTTTCTACTTAAGTAGTTCAGTGACATTAGTTCCATTTTTCACAATGTGTCAACATTCTCATTAGTTGAGTTCTAGTTGTTTTGTTTCTAGTACTCGTTTCCCTGCCTTTCCCGGCCCCCTCCTTTGTCTTTTCATCTTTGCTTTAGAGTCTGTAATTGCTGACATTTGGTCTCATTATAGATGGTTTTTTAACAGAGCCCCGTACTCACGGGTAATATCCTTTGTGTGCCAGTCTGTTATTTCACTAAAAGCTGACCTCGGGATAGTTTAGGTTGAAGGTTTAAAGAGTATCTCAGGGCAATAGTCTCAGGGAGTCCTCCAGTCTTAACTGGTCCAGTAAGTCTGGACTCTTTAAATAGAGACCAATAGTTGTATCTTAGATGGCCACTCGCAAGCTTTTAAGACCTCAGATGCTACTCACCACACTAGGATCCAGAACATGAACTTTGTGGTGACAATTAACTGGGTTGTCCCATGAGACTAGGGACTGAAGCCTTCAAACCCAGAAAACGATTCTTGCAAGGTGTTTGGTTATGTCAGAAGCAACTGTGTCCTCTCCATAGGGATTTTTTTCCTGATCTTTTTACTATGTTGTTGAATATACACAGCAAAACATACACATCATTACTGACACTGATTACATTTTTTTGAGTTGTGCCACCAGTCTCCACCTCCTTTTCTGAGTTGTTCCTCCTCCATTAACATAAATTCACTGCCCCCCAAAGGTTCCTGTCTAATCTTTCAAGTTGCTGTTATCAATTTGATCCCATATAGACAGTCCTTAAATATATAGATCCCATGTAGATAGTTCTTATAGATAGAGCATAATGCCCAAGACAGACCTTTTTTTCTAGGTAAGCTTTAACTATGGTTTGGTTTTAATAAGACTTAAGGGGATATTTTTGGTTTAAGGTTTAAAGATTACCTCAGGGCTATAGTTTCAGGAGTTCATCCAACCTTCATAGCTCCAGGAGGTCTGGAGTTCCTGAGAATTTGAAATTCTGTTCTGCCTTTAGAATCTTTGACCAAAATTTTCGATAATGGTAGCCAGGCATCAGTCAGTTCTTCTGGTCTCATGGCAAAGGAGGCAGTTGTTCATGGAAGTAATTACCAACACACTGCATATTCTCCTCCTATTCCTGACGCTCCTTCTTCCTCTCCTCTCTTGCTCCAGGTGAATAGAGACCAATTGTTGTGCCTTGCATGGCCACTTGCAAGCTTTGAAGACCCCAGGCACTAGGCAACAAACCAGGAAGTAAAACAGAAGCACTAAACAATGTTATAAGGGCAATTTACTGGGATGTCCCATGAAACCATGACCCTAAACCTCCAAACCAAGAAATCAAATCTCAGGAGGTTTTTGGTTGTACATAAGCAGCTACTCTTTTGTTGTTGTTGCAAATGTATCACACAACTTTTGCCAATTCAACTTTTTACAGGTATACAACTTATTGACAGCAATTACAGTAACTGGATGTGCAACACTACCTTTCATCAATGTGGTATTTCCATCACCGTTAACCCCCCTTTCCCTCCTCCCTCCTGCCCCTGGTAACCACTGATAAACTTTGTTCTCTGTAATTTGCCTTTTCTTTTTATAGAAGTGAGGTCATAGAATATTTGAGCTTTTGTGACTCTTCACTCAGCATAATGTATTCCAGTTCCATCCATACTGTAGCACATACGAAGACCTCATTTCTCCTACTGGCTGTATTGTATTGTATGTATGTACGCACCACATTTTGTTTATCCATTCATCAGTCGATGGGCATTTAGGTTGCTTCTACCTTTTGGCTATTGTGAATAGCCCTGCAATGAACATTGGTATACAAGACCCTGAGTCCCCGCTGTCAAGTCTTTTGAGTATACACCTAGGAGTGGAATTGCTGGGTCATATGGTAGTTCTATTTTTAGTTTTTTGAGGAACTGCCACACTGTTTTCCACAACAGCTGTACCATTCTGCATTCCCACAGCAATCGGTAAGGGTTCCAATTTCTCCACATTCTCGCCAATTGTGTTCCTAGTGTATACCACAAATGGTATCTCACTGTGGTTTTGATTTGCATCTCTCTGATGGCTAAAGACACTGAGTATCTTTTCATGTGTTTGTGGCCATTTGAACATCCTCTTTGGTGAAATGTGTATTCAAGTTTTTTGCCCATTTTATGATTGGGTCTTTTTGTTGTCAAAGTTTTGTATGTATTTTGGTTATTAGATTCTCGGCAGATATATGATTTCCAAAGATATTCTTCTAGTCAGTAGCCTGTCTTTTCAAATTTTTTGTGAAGTCTTTTGATGAACAAGTTTTTAATTTTTATGCGGTCTCATTTATTTGTCTTTTGCTGTTTGTGCATCTGTTATAACTCATTGTTAAAAGCTAGGCCTGACAGCATTGCCCTGGCATTTTTTTCTAACAATTTTATGGTTTTAGTTTGCACATTTAGGTCCTTAATCCATTTGATTTTTTTTATGTGTGTATGGTGTGAGGCATGGATCCTGTTTCATTTTTCTGCATGTGGAAATCCAATTTTCCCATAACGAGACTCTTCTTTCCCCATCATATGGACCTACCATCCTTTTCAAAAATCAGTTGACTATGGATGTGTCCATAGGGTTTTCAATGGCTGCTTTTCTGGAAGATCGCCAGGCCTTTCTTCTGAAGCACCTCTGGGGGACTTAAACCCCCAACCTTTCAGTTAGCAGTCAAGAGAGTTAATCATTTGCAACACCCAAGGACTTCAACTGCATATTAGTTCCTCCCTTTTTAAAGAATATTACTAGTATGTTAAACACAAAAGACTCGGGAACAGTGCTATAGAGTGTGAAAATTATGTCCCAAGGACCACAAGTTGTGCACTAAGCTTAGGCACCAACTAGTCAAAAGAGGAAAAGGATATGGGGAGAAACAATAACTCTAGGAAAAAAACAATACTTATATGTAAAAGAAAACCCAGTTTCAGTATACTGTCATCCTCTGTGCAATGAACAATATGTACCTACTCACTGTATTAGTCAGCATCCCAGAAAGAAGCAAATGCACCTTCAAGATAGTGCAATAACCTAGAGCCAGCAGCAACATATCTATTACCATCCCTAGGCCAAAAACAGCAGGAAGTTAGTGGAATCTGAAAGGAGGGTCATGTGGAGTTGGCCACCCTGAAAAAGGTGCAGTGACTCCTGGTTGAGGGACAGAGACGATGGAATAAATACCGTAACCTCACTCTCCTTCCTCCCTCCAGTTACTGCTGCGTGTCCCCATTGGCCAAACCGAAAGGAACCCAGAAGACATGGGAAGCTTGTTGATGTCATTCATACAGCTTTCTTTGGCAGAAAAGCAGAGGGAAGGGGGCAGAGTAGATTTGGAGAGGCAAGTGGAAGACATCTGGTATATTCACAATGATATAAACACTGATTAATGACAGTGAAATTCATAAAAGAATGTTGGGAGGTTATGTGGGACAGCAAATAGAGGGAACACAGTGTAAGATATCTCAACCATAACAGTAAGTTAATAATGTCTAAAGTTAATAACTCAAGAAACAGCAGTATATATGTATCATTTATAAACATGGAGAGAAATGCCAAAAGCAACAGCTAAATGAGTTAAGCTGGGGACTAGCAGAGCAGGGACATTAGGAACCTTGCAATGTCCATTTTGTATTTAATAAAAACAGAAATTAATTTTAAGAAAATTGCTAAAAGGCTACACAAAAAACTCGTAGTGGCTATCTGTGGAGTTGGAATAAGATAATGAGAAAGAACATTTTCATTTAATATGTTTGCAGTTTTACTGTGAACATGTGTTATTTTTTACAATAGCTTTTAAACCTTAAAAAACAACTAATCAACTAAGTTTCTTTCCCAGTGGGAATCTGTCTTATCCTCCAGGTGAGCTGGTGCAGAAAAGTTGAGACCTACTGATTTACATCGCATGAAGTCCAGAGTGGGTAAGTGACTTGACTAGACACATAGCTTCTAACAGAGTCTCAGGATCCAGGACTTCTGACCTCCTACCCAGTGCCCTTTCAAGGGGCTGCAGATCCTTCCTCTTCTACCACGATTGCCTATGTCATTGGATACCCAAGGGCAGAAGTCCCTTCTAACTTCTCTCTGCTTCAGGGGAAACAAATAAATACGATACAAAGATATGCCTGACCACTGATTATTTACAGATGCCTAAAGTGATGAATAAGGAAGACCGAAGAATTGATTCCTTTGAATTGTGGTGTTGGTGATGAATACTGAATATACCGTGGACTGCCAAAAAACGAATCAATCTGTCTTGGAAGAAGTACAACCAGAATCCTCCTTGGAAGCAAGGATGGCGAGAATACGTCTCACATAATTTGGACATGCTATCAGGAGGGATCAGTCCCTGGAGAAGGACATCATGCTTGGTAAAGTAGAGGGTCAGCGAAAAAGAGGAAGATCCTCAACAAGATGAACTGACACAGTGGCTGCAACAACAGGCTCAAGCATGATTGTGAGGATGGCGCAGGACTGGGCAGTGTTTCGTTCTGTTGTACATAGGGTCGCTATGAGTCAGAATCAACTTGACAGCACCTAACAACAAAGTGAAGAAGCCCAAGATGGAAGACCATACAGAGAGGCCCAGGCTCCAGCTGTATGAGTGAGCCCAACCAGCAAAGAAATACTCAGTCAACCCACAGAATGAGTCATTGTTGTTGAAAATAACTAAATTTTGGAGTATTCTGTTACATAACAAAAGGTAATGAGTATAATTTACTCTTCCAAAAAAAAAGAAAATATTGCTGTCCCACCCCCTCCAGGTGCCCTCACACTATAATTTTGCTTTCTGATGTGGTGAAAAAAGTCCCTTTTAAGTATTTAAACAGACTTTAAAGAAAAAAGAACCACAGGGTAAACTGAGTATTTAATACATTTATGGAAATAGAAAGAATGCATGAAGAATCAGAATTGTATAATTTACATCAGACCATTTATGCAAACGGCATTTCATTTTTCAAAGAAGTTTCCCCTATTTATCTTTTCTATCCTCCTCAGAGCAATAAATAGTAAATTACTACTCTTGTCAATAAGCTGCATGTTGGGTAGTAATTGTATCTTTGTGTTTCAAGTCATTATCAACTCCAGAACACACTACTCTTCATTTCCCTCCACAGCCTCACAGTAAAACTGTACTCCATCCAAATGAGAAGAGCCCAAAGAACCGAGAGCAAACAGCAATCAAATCCATGTGAATGAATGCTGGTGGCCCAAGGATCTTAACTACTGATTCAGTGACAGAGAGTGTCTACTGGCACAAGCTTTCTACTTATTCATATTATTAAAACTGCAATTATAAAAATGAAAGCTACTTCGATGAAAAAAGAACTCAGGAACGAAGTCATTAAGTGTAACTAAATACATTTTAAATATAAATACTACGTAGTTCCTCATTAGTATCAGATAAATATCTAAACTATCCTGAATTCTGGTTTCAAAGAAAAAGGTCAGAGACAATTATAAAGGTGCTTCATAGTATCAGCTCCATTTTGAAAACAATACATAAGCAGCCTCAGCAGTTACTCTTTTTTTGTCCTCCTCTGGAAAAATCGATTTAGTCTTTCTTTTTATCTGAGATTTCTGTTGGTCCTTTTGTTGGTAATCCATTTATATCTGCACCCTAAAATGAAAAACCATTTTAGGAATAATTAAAATAAAAAGACACTCATTATGACACATTCTCTTAAAAAACTTCAGAATGAAACAACTTCACTTCCAGAAATGTGCTGTTGCTGTTGTTTGCTGCCATCAAGTCTACTCCTCCCTGCCCCCCATCAGACTCAGGGCAATGGAATGAAACGCTGCCCAGTCCTGCAGCATCCCCACAATTGGCTGCAGACCAGACCTTTGTGATCCATACAGAAGTAGATCACCAGGCCTTTCTTCGTAGTCCGTCTTAGTCTGGAAGCTCCGCTGAAACCTGTTCAGCACCATAGCAACGTGCAAGCCTCCACTGATGGACGTGTGCGGATGTGCATGAGGGAATCAAACCTGGTCTCACACACGGAAGGTGAGAATTCGACCAATAAACCACTACTGCCCCTTCCAGAAATGTGCAGGATGGGTAAATTAGGAGGGCTGGTATAATACACTCAATTTAACAACCACAAATGCTAAAAACGACAGAGTTGTCTATTCATTTCAAAGAATATCTTCATTTTGTTAAAAAACAAAAAACTATAATTCTTCCAATTAAAACTGTCACCAAAAGTTATCAAACGCAAACTAATACTAGTATCTTCTCATCCACTAGCTATTTACCATTACTCTTACCAGCCAGGAAATGCCGGTTATCATCTTGGCTAAGGAGCAAATGCATTAACCACAGGTCTAGTTTAAAGTCTTAGTTAAAACCAAATGTTAACTACTTAAAAGCAAAACCAAACCTCCTGTTGTAAAAAAAGGAAAGAAATTAAGACACTCTTGAAGGTTCTCATTCCAAAATCTTGCCCTTCCAGTAAAGGTAAAAAGTCAAGTGTTTTACCCGATCGTATTACCCTTATTCAAAGCATTTTAACGTTTTTACCTTACAGTCTCCTTTGCCTTTATTTTGATCACTGGATTCTTGTAGAGCTTTTCTAGGCCATACACGACTAACGAAAGGGGAAATCAGAGGGTATATGTATGGCTCCAGGAATTTTTTGTAGACCCAGAGCAGAACCGGAATGACGATACATGGAATACACACCATCGTCCCAGGCTTGAGCTCCTACACTGTTAATGTACATACAGAAAAAACAAATTAGTTCATCACAAATTAATGACTGAAGGAAATTACCTAGAATAACATATCTGAAAGGATAGACTGAAAGGACTATTAACCACACTGAAGGAAAGACTTAAAACAAACTTTTAGCTAAAAACAAATATGTATTAAATAAAAATGCTACCTGCAAGGTCAAAGAATAAGGTGGCAGACATGAAAATAATAGTGAGGTGCCTGCTTCTGAACATTTCCCATAACTCCCCATCATAAAGTTGAATAAAAACGCAAGATCTGTAACATTTGCTGCATACTAGGCACTATGTTGGAGCCCTGGTGGTGCACTGGTTAAGAGCGCAGGTGCTAACCAAAAGGTTGGCAGTTCAAATCTACCAGCTGCTCCTTAGAAACCTAAGGCGCAGTTCTACTCTGTCCTACAGGGTCGCTGAGTTGCAATCAACTTGATGGCAACGGGTTTGGTGGTTTTTTTTCAGCACTATGTTAAGCCCTTTACGTATATCGACTTGTTAGATCCTTGTTGGGTGCTATTGCTATTCCCATTTACGGATAAAGAAATGGGGGCACAAAGACATTAAGGAACTTGACATTATGACATATGCTGCACTTCAGTGTGAATTCACTATCAGGCCTACTAATCACCTTCAGGGTCTGACAAAAATCAATGAACCAAACTTACAAAGCTGAGGGCAAATCCTGGAAAATGGAACTCACCAAGATAATATCACTTTGAAGATCTCTAGTCTGCAAACCAGCTGGTCTTTCTCAGGCAACAACTCCCCCTTGATATACTTGCTTTTTCTTTTTAAAAAGCAGTTATGGCATGCCAAGCAATAAAAAATTCTGTTTAGTATTACCATATAAGTAAATCGCCCATTTCTAAAAATACTGATAATTCCCCTGAAGGAGCCCTGGTGGCACAATGGTTAAAGTGCTCAGCTGCTAACTGAAAGGTTGGCAGTTTGAACCCACCAGCCCTTCTTATGGGAGAGAGATGTGGCAGTCTGCTTCTGTAAAGGTTACAGCCTTGGAAACCCTATGGGGCAGTTCTACCCTGTGCTATAGGGTCAATATGAGTTGGAATCAACTTGACAGCAACGGGTTTGGTTTGGTTAATTTCCTTGATGGTTAAAAAAATCATCTTGGAATTTCTGAAATCAGCAATGTGCTTGAAAAAGAATCAATACTAGCTCTACAAGACTGCTTGGATTTAAAAGAATTTTTAATCCCTTAGAACAGGATTTAGGGCCTTAAAAACTAAGATGCTTCAGTAGAATGCATAAGGTATTAAATTCAGGATGATAAATTTCTTACTTTAAAAATATTATAAATTAAGTAGTGTTTGTGGCAAATGAGTCAGTACCAAGTTCACACTAAGGTAATTTTTAATTATTCACAATACAGGTGAACAGAGATATAGTTAATCTGATCTGTACGTGGCTTTGAAATGAATTACAAGCCAACTGCTATTAACAAATAAAAAAGTGAATTTACATCAAGGAATGGCCAGCCATTTTACAAGGTATACTTTGCTTAATAAAAGGATTCGTAACCAAATTACTTGAAATAGTCCCCTAGTCAAATTAATATAATAATTTAAGAGTTTACTAAAATAAGTTGTTCCAAGATTTTAAAGGACATACTCTTTGATTAAAACAAGCCAAACAGTCTCACGGGACATCAAGATCAATTGGTATAACACACTTCATAAAGATAATGTTCTACATTCTACATTGGTGAGTAGCTTCTGGGGTCTTAAAAGCTTGCGAGCAGCCATCGAAGATACAACTGTGGGTCTCTTCTCATCGGAAGCAAAGGAGACTGAAGGAAACCAAAGACTCAGGGAAAAAATTAGTCCACAGGATTAATGGCCTGTGAGAACTGCAGCCTCTTCTTAGCCTGAGACCAGAAGAACTAGATGGTGCCCAGCTACCACTACCAACCATTCTGACCAGGGACACAATAGAAGGTCCCAGACAAGAAGGGAGAAAAAATGTAGAACAAAATTCAAACTCCTAAAAAATGTCAGACTTACTGGACCTATAGAGATTAGAGTAACCCTCAAGACTACCGTCCTAGAATACTCTTTGAACTTGGAACCGAAGCCACTCCTGGTCATTATTTTTCAGCCAAATAATAGACTAGCTTATAAAATAAACATCATCATCCATGAATACTGTGCTCCCTTACATAATCAATGATATGAGACCAAACGATCAACATTTACCCTAAAACAAAGATGAGAAACTAAGGAGGGGCAAGGGAGCGAGATTAATGGAAAGAGAACAAAAAGAATGGAAATAATGAGAATGCTGACAAACGTGAAAAACGTAACCAACGTCATGGAACGAGTTGCATAAAAACCATTAAATGGGAACCTAATTTGCTATGTAAATTTTCACCTAAAACTCAATATTTAAAAAAAAAAAGCCAGACAGTGAGTCTTTTTCAGTATGTTTCAAGGAATCATTATTTTTTAGCTAAAGACACTTAGAATTTGAGTTGAAGAGATGTAAGAGGTAATTTGGTTTAGGTCTTGCACCCTTTTACAGCATCATGAGTCCCTGGGGGACACAAAGGTTAAGTGCTGGATTACTAACCAAAAGGTTGGCGGTTGAAACCCACCCAGACGCACGTTGGAGGTAAGGCCTGGCCATCTGATTCCAAAAGGTCACAGCCATTGAAAACCCTATGGAGTAAGGTTCCTGGGTAGCGCAAATGGTTTGCCCTTAGCTGGTAACTGAAAGGTTGGCAGTTCAAACCCACCCAGGGGCACCAAGGGAGAAACAAGCCTGGCAATCTCTGTAAAGATTACAGCCAAGAAAACCCTACAGCGCAGTTATGCTCTGCACGCATGCGGTCACCAAGGGTCAGAAGCGACTCACGGGCAACTAACAATAATAGGTATCACAGGATAGCCAAGAAGCTAACTTTAACTGGTGTCAGCTGCCTAGGTTTGAAATCTACCCTCGTCACTTTTTAGATAGTGTTTTAGGGCAAATTACTTAACCAGTCTGTGCCATAATTCCCTCATGTGTAAGGAAGATGATAGTAGTACCTACCTCACAGAGATGTAGTGAGGATTAGCCCACTGCCATGGGGTTTACAAGGCTGTAATCTTTACAGAAGCATACTGCCACATCTTTCTCCCTCCCAGTGGTTGGTGGGTTCGAACTGCTGACCTTTCGGTTAGCAGCCACAAGCTTAACTACTGCACCACCAGGGCTCCTTGTAGTGAGGATTAATATGAATACAAAGTTCAGACAGTGTCTGCATACAATAAATGTCCTTGAAGAAAGGCCTGAAGATCTACTTAGGAAAAATCAGCCAATGAAAACCTTGTGGATCACAACAGTCTGATCCCAGTTGAGCATGGGGGCACCATGAAACTCCACCTAAGCTAACAACAAGAAATGTTAAAAGGAAATATGCAAACTATAAACGGGGGGAAAAGGTCCAAAAGTTGTGACTGTCCAAGGTTTACACGGGTAACTAAAGCTGCCTAAGACCATATTTCCTATTTCTGGTTTTCTAGCTCAATGCTCTTTCCTTTTCCTCTTCCAAAACCATAATTATCATGTTATTTATTTCCCTTCTAACAAACCTTTAAAAGCGACTATACCCCTTCAAAATAACTGGTAATGCTAAGTGTGAGCACTTGGTTAAGCTGGTGACTGGCAATCCCTCCACTGTAAAAATTTTTGCCTTTATAATTTGTAAGAACTTGTTTTAAATAAATTCAAACACTACGTATATTTCTCAAGGACAAATACTAATTACTTATGCCATAACTAAGGCTTTTATAAAACTTTTTAGTGTTCTTCAAAATGAAGCTACTTGTAACTTTAGTTAAACCTCATAATGATTCTCCAGTGACATTTTACTTTATAGACATGGAAACTGGCTTAAACGGGTCTAGAAGGTGGCTAGGAGAGATTGGGTATCATTTTACTACTTGTCCAAAGCCAATTTTCGAATATTACAGCAAAGCGAGAAACATAACTGAAACTGTTGGAGGAGAGGAATTTTCTTTCATTTGACTTAGTCTAAGACAACAACAGGCTAGAGAGGAAAATAGAACAGGTATAGCAGACGAAAGCTATCTCCCTTAACCCAGTTCAGCACATCATTTTACAGGAGACAAAAGGAGAGCAGGGATAGGTAAGGGAAAGAGCTAATAGTGAAGACAACAGAGAAGTAAAGGAAACAGACAAGACAGAGGCCCCACGGTGGGTGGGGGGTGGAGAAGAGACAAGACAGGGAGCGCCGGCTAGAGGCAGGTACCGATTAGCAGTTTCTACTGGCCAGCAGTTTCCATCGCCAGCTGTGAGATCATTCAGCTATTTAACGTGAACTGCCCTAAGCGATATTTTCCTGTAGTTAGGTCTCTGAACACGAAGCCAGACAAGAGGGAATAAAACGGAAAACAAAGAAAAGAGAAGGCAGAAGAGAGGCAACGAGTGTGGGTGGGCAGGAAAGGGGCCCGCTTTCGGAGGGCGAAGCTAGGTGTTCTGTGGGAGCCCGAGGACAGAAACGAGACCGCGCACCGGGCTGGGGACCTGCCCGCGCAGTCGGCCGTGGGGCCGCGGAACAGCTCGACAGGCCGGGAAGAACGCTGAAATCAGGAACTCCCGCGCCGACCCCCAGCCACAGCCCGGCCCACTCCAACCCCACTCACCGGCTACCACAACGCCAAACGGAAATGTCCGCACTTCCGGAAGGAGGGACACGGCAGCAGTAGAGCCAATGAGTACTTCAAAAGGCGTCGACAAAGGTGCGCCTGCGTCAGAGTGAGGCCGCAGAAGACGTAATGGTGACGCCCAGGAAGGGACTGAACTTCCGGCGCTACAGCTTAAGAGTTGGAGCCGGAACTCTTGTAGCGCTGCCAGAAAACCTGACTTCCTGTCTTCTATACCAGAATGAAGGCCAAATTACTAGTCTAGGAAAGAACGCTGTGGCAGTTCAACCATTCACGGGGGTTATTCGTCTTGCATTTAATAGCTAGGATTTTTTCAAACGCAGGTTTGGTTAAGTTAAAGCCCTGCTAAAGGGTCTTGAAGATCAGGGTAATGGATATTCAAGCTAGGGTTAACTACTAATCATAGTTTAACGATTAGTTTATACCAGTTGACACTCACTAGAATGGCTTTAACGGTTCGTAATAATTGTTGACCAGAATGTGGAGAAACCGGAGCCCTCATACACTACTGGTGGTAATAAAAAGTAGCAGCCCTTCAGAACTTTGGCAGTTCCTCAATCTGCCACTGTTTGACCCAAGAATCCCACTCCTAGGTATATACCCAATTCCGACTCTTAGTGACCTTAGAGGACAGAGTAGAACTGCCCCACAGGGTTTCAAAGGAGCACCTGGTGGATTTGAACTGCTGATCCTCTGGCTAGCAGCCATAGCTCTTAACCACTGTGCCAGCAGGTTTATGTGAAGAGAAATTAAAACATGTCCAGACAAAAGCCGGTAATTTTTTAAAGGGTCAAAAGTGAAAACCACCAAAACGACCATCAACTTGAGTGACGAGTGTGGCATAGCCATACAATGGAAATTTATCCTACGTTAAAAGACCACTAGTGAATGTATGCTATGTGAATTATACTCAAAGTTGCTAAATGAATGGCATGGAGAAAACAGAAGAATCCATGCATTTCTGACATGAATTGAAAATTTGATCTGTTTTGTGATAACATTCAAAATGTATTTATACTAATAAAGACAACCAACATTCTTCTTTTACTTTTATTTGCATTTTATTTTAAGCTGAATTTACTCCCGAGCCATAAGTTTTTGTTTCTTCAGTTTCTTCTGGGATATCTGAGGGAAGAAAAATAAGGCTACTTAATCGAACTTTTCTCATTATTGGCATATTTAGACCAACATTTGACACTTAAAAGAGTACATAAGAAAATTCCCATCAGGAAATTGACTGCTGCTGTGTTATCCAGAAATAAGTGACAGTTACGTGATTCCCACTGAATGTATTTAAAATAAATTGAATACATTAAAGTTGGAAATCCCAATCTGGAGTCCCAGTTGAAAAAGTAATATAACAGAGGTGGATCCCAGGTTTTTTCGTTCCAATACTGATTAGGAGAGCAGTTGAATGCTTTCAAAAGTTTATGCTAAAGACTGGATACAGACAGCTGTTAAGGGCCTGAAGTAATTCAGTGGCATCACAAATGGGGAATAACATCCAAGTGATAAGACTCCACAGCTATCAGGCATGAAGAAAAGTGAAGCGTCTACAATCATTTCCAGGTTCGTGACTTAAACGACTGTGATCATTTGCTGAAATCAAATTTACTACCTCTTTGGGGGTATGGGGGTAATTCCCATTTTTGAACACATTGTGTCTGAAGTACTGTGGACATCTAGGTAGGGCCATCCGAAGATGTGATGCATTGACTACTACAAATTTACTGGTCACTGTTAGTGAACAAATGAGACCAACAAAAGCCAAGTAAGACAGGTGAATGAGGTTGCTCAGAAATGTTTTCTTTTCATGGTTATTCCAAAGGTGTCCTAAGACAGTCATCACAGCAACCACAAATCTTCCTAGTATTATATAAAAGTGAGACAGCAATTAAGTAATTTACCTTTTTCTTCTGTGCAACCTCTTCTTCTGGTTTAGGAACAATTTGTTCCTTTTCAGTAAGGATCATCTCAATGTGGCAAGGGGAGCTCATGTATGGGTTAATTCGACCATGAGCTCTGTAAGTGCGGCGGCGCATCTTGGGGGCTTTGTTCACCTGGATGTGCTCTATGACCAGAGAATCTACATCTAAACCCTGGGAAGGAAGGGTGCAGAGATAACAAAACAAAATCAGGTAATCTGATCATCTTTAATTATAAAACCCCAGAAACTGAATCACTGGAAAATACCAACTCCTAATCCTGCCACGAAATCCCTGCCTTCATCATTTCTAAAACGCAATGTAAGAATTCAAACAGTACAAAAGTTCAGTGTTTGCTTTCACTGTTTATTCCAAGGGTCCTTCAACACACTACTAGACATTGTTATGCAAAGTTAATAATCAAGAAGCACACCCACATGTAAACATTTTCCTAAATTTCTTTGTTTTGTAATCCTACGTATTTTTACCATTTTTTATTTAAACATATCCTGCAAAGGTTCATAAACCACCATAGTACCAATGAGGTCCATGGCACAGAAATGCTTATTATGAACCCTTGGTGAAATACTTCCAGTGTAAAAGACAGGACAGAAAAAAAGTCTTTCCCAAGTGCTGGGGGGATAAGGGACTTAAGTCTTAGGCTTGAAGAGACCCCAGCTCACTCTATACATGAAACTTAATTACTGCAAGAACAAAACAATTAAGGAAATAAACCTGGACAACAGCAATATTATTCAAGCTGCACACACACAGTATGTCAATAGTTTGGTTACCTTTAGTTCAGCATTACTCTCTGCATTTTTAAGCATGTGGAGCAAAAATTCAGCACTCTTTTTGGGCCACCGACCCTGTGTCCAACCCCACTGTTTGGCCTGAGAAGAAAATGAAGGCCGGCGATTAGCCATTTTCCCCAATTTAAATTAATACCATGACCAAAATGAACTGTTACCCAACATCAAGGTTGCTCAGAATGTTTTTTTTTTTCATGGTTAATCCAAAGGTGTCCTAAGATCGTCATCACTGCAACCAGAAAGAGCTTGGCTATTCTTATACTACACAATCACTTTTCTTTATGAATACTATGAGCAACTTGTCTTTTTAAACAGCAACTAAGAATTCTTACCTGGGCACATCTACCAACTCCACCATTGTAACGTCGGAACGGCACACACTGCTTCTGCAAAGTGACATCTTTCAAATACTTGGTGGCTTTTCGGATATGCATACCCTTGATGGCCTGGGCAGTTTCACGGGTGTTCTGTTTAAAGAATGAAAAATATAAACTGTTGGTTGATAATTCAAGACATTCTTGGTCAACAAGGTTAAAATATTACAGTTTTTAAGCACTGAAATCTCTGATTTAAACATTCACCAAAGTCAAAACTCCCCTTCTACTCTTGAGAAGTGAGGGAATACAGTGCTGGCGGGAGGGGAAGCCTGACTCAGTTTGAAGCGAAAATGTAAATGCTTCAATTCCATCATCTTCTCAATACAGGTAGGCCCCAACTTACAATGGGGTTCCATTTCTGACAAATCAAATACCTCATTTTTTAAAAATTCCCATAATTATTGCCTTTATTATCAGTATCTTTATAAATCTGGCAGTGTTTCAAACAGTAAGTCATAAGACCGAACAACTGAGAATAACATTAGATTACCTGCTGCAACCTATTACTAATGGTAAGATGTTAAAAACAAACAAAAAACATGGACAGCTGTTTAAGTTATTTCTCAAGTAGTTGTCTGGTAGTTTTACTCAATTCCGCAATTTCAAATCATTTATATTTTACTGATTATATCCTAATGATCAGAGTCCAAAAGGATGACGGCTGCTCAGAATTTATTAATTTTCACAGTAAATCCAAAGGTGTCCTAAGAAAGTCATCACTGCAGCCACCTTTTTAGAATGGTAAGCATTACACAAAGAAACACAGAGAACGGTTTTAGAACCTGACTCACTCACCTTAAAATGCACTCGAAGATTTGAACCTCTTGATTTGCATGCTAAAAAATAAGAAGTTTTGGTTAAATTTGGTTATCTCATCGTTTCTTACCCTTAAATTAGAAATTTTATCTCCTGTTCACTCACATTTTGTGGGGTTTTCTGGGTCAAGTGAGTAGCGAACCATTTTGCCAGATCACCTGGAACGGAGCGCAGTACAATTCTGAGAAACACATTTACAGAAACTACTGCAGTTTAATTATGACACGCTATCAACAGCTGCTCAAAGTGTGTCTTCATGATTCATCCAAAGGTGTCCAAGAAATGCCATCATCGCAGCCATTCTGTTCACAATCCAGGGCTTTCCTCACCCTTGGATTTAACTGTGGCTAAAATAGTGCTGACACACAGTTAGTGACAAGGACCTCATCACCCCTTCTTTCTTACCCTTTGAAAGGAGACAGAACCTGTTTCAATTTAACCCTTTATCTTTCAGGCATAAAATGACTTCTTGACACATCCTTCAAAGCAGACATGAACTACAGCCCACTACATTCTCTATCCCTACAAAACGGGCCCCTTTCTCACAAAACTTAACAAGTAACAAAGTCTTCTAGCTCTTACCCACGTTGAACTCCAACGATTTTGCAACGTGGTTTTTTCAAATGAGAAACACTTAGACCCGACTTTAATCCCAAACTTTCTCTCGTACTGCTCACCACTCACCAGGAGATATTGAACCTCCGGCGTTGGAAGCCGCACTGGCCACCCGTCTCCACTCGGGCGGAGGAGCCCTGCCGCCACCATTCCCACCCATCGCGCCCCTCCGCTGCCGCAGACGCCCCGACGCTCCAAGTTGGGCGCTCCGCCGCATCCCCCGAAACGAGAACCACCACCTCCAGGGAGGAGTTAGTAGTTTAGGGGGTTTTCCTCCCAGTGGTCTCGAGAACGGCGGCGCAGAGGCCACGATGACGGCGATGACCGGAGGATTGGACACCATGAGCTGCACACCAAACACACACTCACCTCAGGCCGCTTACAGGAAGAGAAAAAGCAGTGGCTCCTGGGAGAATTCATGATAATGAACCTCTCGCGAGATCTTCAGACCCAAAACGAGATTTGAAGAAGGGAGGAGAGAGGAGGAATAAGGGAACATAGAGTATGTTTTAAGAAGGTCTGAAAACGTATTGCCTCCTTAGAGACTGTCTCAAAATTCTCCCTTTCTTGTACCGGGAGATATCAATCAATTAAAAACTAGTTTGTGATTGTAGACAGGGCCACGTATTATTATTTAGATGTGTGTTAAATAATATTATAAATTAACGAGAGATTTTATTCGTTCATCAATATTCGTTAGCTTTAATTATGTGATCACATACCTCTGAGAGATGGTTTGTAAATGAGCTTTTGAGTACAAGTTTTGTGTGGACATATATTTTTATTTATTTTGTGTAGATACCTAGGAGTGGGATTGCCTGGTCATATAGTAAGTTCATGCTAAGCATTTCAAGAAACTGCCACACTGTTTTCCAAAGTGGCTGTACCATTTGTCATTCCCACCAGCAAAGTATGAGGGCTCCAGTTTCTTTTTTCCCCTTTTTATTTATTTTTATTGTGCTTTAGATGAAGGTTTACAGAGCAAATTAGTTTCTCATTAAAAATTAATACACACATTGTTTTGTGACATTGGTTGCCAACTCCATGACATGTCAACACTCTCCCTTCTCCATCTTGGGTTCCCCATTTCCATTTGTCCAGCTTTCCTGTCCCCTCCTGCCATCTCGTCCTTGCCCCTGGGCTGGTGTGCCCATTTAGTCTCATAAACGTGGTTGAGCTACGTGTATTGTTGTTTGTTCTATGGGCTTGTTTAATCTTTGGCTGAAAGGTAAACCTCAGGACTGACTTCAGTACTGAGTTAAAAGGGTGTCAACCTCCAGGGGCCATACTCTCAGAGTTTCTCCATTCTCTATCAGACCAGTAAGTGTGGTCTTTTTTTGTGAGTTAGAATTTTGTTCAACATTTTTCTCCAGCTCTGTCTGGGACCCTGTATTGTGATCCCTGTCAGAGCAGTCAGTAGTGGTAGCCGGGCACAATCTAGCTGTGCTGGACTCAATCTGCTGGAGGCTGTGGTGGTTGTGGTCCATTAGCCCTTTGGATGAATCTTTCCTTTGTGTCTTTGGTTTTCGTCATTCTCCCTTGCTGCTGAAGGGGTGAGACCAGTGGAGTATCTTGGATGGCCGCTCACAAGCTTTTAAGACCCCAGATGCCACTCACCAAAGTAGGGTATAGAACATTTTCTTTACAAGCTATATTATGCCAATTGAGCTAGACGTCCCCCAAGAGCAAGGTCCCCAGCCCTCAGCCCAGTAATTTAGTCCCTCAGGGAGTTTGGATGTGTCTATGAAGCTTCTATGCCTTTGTCTTGGTCAAGTTGTGCTGACTTACCTTTGTATTGTGTACTGTCTTACCTTTCACCAGGAGTGCTCCAGTTTTCTCACAGCCTCATCTGCAAAGTATTGTGTGTCTTGTTTCTTGCAGCCATTGTAGTGGATTTATATTGTATCTCATTGTGGCTTCAATTTGCATTTCCCTCAAGTTAATGATGTTGAACATCTTTTCATATGTTTATTTAATATTCATGTATCTTTCTGAAGTATCTATTCAAATCTTTTGGCTACTTTTTAATCTGATTGTCTGTTTCCTTACTATTGAGTTGTAAGAGTTCTTTATATATTCTGGATCCAAATTCTTTAAGGGATTTACAAATATTTTCTCCTGGCTTTGGCTTGTCTTTTTATTTTCTTAATAATGTCTGAAGTATAAAACTGTTAAGTTTTGATGAAATTCAATTTATTGATTTTTTTTATTTTCATGAATTGTGATTTTGGTATGGTATCTAAGGACTTTTTGCCTATCCCAAGTGAAGACTGTTTTTCCTATGCTTACTTCTAGAAGGTTTATAGTTTTAGTTCTTACATTTATGTTGAGTTAATTTTTTCTAAATAATATTTTAGTTAGTTTTTGGTGAAAGTTTACACAGCAAGTTAGGTTCCCATTTGACAATTTCCCCATGAATTGTTCAATTACTTTTATCGCAGTCTGTCAACAATTCTCTGTCTTTTTCTTTTGGAACAATTTCTACATGTAAAATTTAGTGATCTAGGTTACATTCTTTGAGTTGTACAACCATTTTCACCCTCCTTTTCTGAGTTATTCCTTTCATTAACAAACTCACTGCCCCTAAGTTTCCTATATAATCTTCAAGTTGCTGTTGTCAATTTGATCCTATATAGATAATTTTTAAAAGAGCATAATGCTCAAGGCAGACCTTTTTTTACTAGTTAAGCTAAACTATTATTTGGTTTTAAGAAGACTTCAGGGGTTATTTTTGGTTTAAGATTTGAAAATTATCTCAGGGCATTAGTTTCAGGGGCTCATGCTCCCGTCATGGCTCCAGGAAGTCTGGAGTCAATGAGAATTTGAAATTCTGTTCTGCAGTTTTCCCCTTTTGATCAGGATTCTTCCTTGAAAGCTTTGATCAAAATGATCAGTAATGGTAGCCAGGCACCATCCAGTTCTTCTGGTCTCATAACAAAGGAGGCAAATGTTCATGAAGGCAATTACAAACACATTCTATATTCCATATTCTCCTCCTATTCCTGACTGCCCTTCTTCTTCTGTTGCTCCAGGTGAATAGACCCCAATTGTAGAACCGTGAATGGCTGCTTGTAAGCTTTGAAGACACCAGGCACTAGGCAACGAACTAGGAGGTAGAACAGAAGCACTAAACATGTTATTAGGCCAGTTAAATGGGATGGCCCATGAAACCATGACCCTAAACCTCCAAACCAAGGAACCAAATCCATGAGGTTTTTAGGTGTACATAAGCAGCCTGTGATGGATTGAATTATGATCCCCCCAAAATGTGTGTATCAATTTGGCTGGGCCGTGATTCCTGGTATTGTGTGATCTTCCTGCATGTTGTAAACCCTGCCTCTATGATGTTAATGTGGGAGGATGGGCGGCAGTTGTGTTAGTGAGGCAGGACTCAATCTATAAGATTGGATTGTGTCCTGAGGCAATCTCTTGAGATATAAAAGAGAGAAGTGAGCAGAGAGACATGGGGAGCTCATACCACCAAGAAAGCAGTGCCAGGAGCAGAGCACATCCTTTGGACCTGGGGTCCCTGCTCAGGGAAGCTCCTAGTCCAGGGGAACACTAATGAGAAGAAGGCCGACAGAGAGAGAAAGACTTCCCCTGGAACTGACGCCCTGAATTTGGACTTTTAGCCTACTTTACTGTGAAGAAACAAATATCTCTTTGTTAAAGCCATCCACTTGTGGTATTTCGGTTGTAGCAGTGCTAGATGACTAAGACACAGCCTTAGTAGCTATTATTATTATTTTTTCAGGGCTATAGTTTTCTTTTTTTTAAATTGTTGTACTTTAAGTGAAAGTTTACAATTCAAGTCAGTCTCTCATACAAAAATTTATACATACACTGTTATGTGACCCCAATTGCTCTCCCTGTACCATGACAGCATACTCCTCCTTTCCACCCCTGATTTCCTATGTCCATTCAACCAGCTCCTAACCCTCTCTGCCTTCTCATCTCACCCCCAGACAGAAGCTGCCCATTTAGTCTCATGTATCTACTTGAGCTAAGAATCACATTCTTCACGAGTATCATTTTATGTCCCATAGTCCAGTCCAATCTTTGTCTGAAGAGCTGGTTTCAGGAGTGGTTTTAGTTCTGGGTTAACAGAGAGTCCAGGGGCCATGTCTTCCGGGGTTCCTCCAGTCTCAGTCAGACCATTAAGTCTGGTCTTTTTACCAGAGTTTGAGTTTTGCACCCCACTTTTCTCTTGCTCTGTCAGGGACTCTCTGTTGTATTTATTCCCTGTCAGGGCAGTCTTTGGTGGTAGCTGGGTACTGTCTAGCTCTTCTGGTCTCAGGCTGATGAAGTCTCTGATTTATATGGCCCTTTTTTCTCTTGGGCTAATATTTTCCTTGTGTCTTTGGTGTTCCTCATTCTCCTTTGCTCCAGGTAGGTTGGGAACAATTGATGCATCTTAGATGGCTGCTTGCAAGCTTTTAAGACCCAGACACCACTCACCAAAGTGGAATGCAGAACATTTTCTTAATAAACTTTGTTATGCTAATTGATCTAGATGTCCCCTGAAAACATGGTCCCCAGACCCCTGCCCCTGCTCTCTGTCCCTCAAAGTGTTTGGTTGTATTCAGGAAACTTCTTAGCTTTTGGTTTAGTCAGTTGTGCTGACTTCCCCTGTAGTGTGTGCTGTCCTTCCCTTCACCTAAGATAATTCTTGTCTACTATCTAGTTAGTGAATTCCTGTTTTCCACCCTCCCCGCCCTTGTAACCATCAAAGAATGTTTTATTCTGTGTTTAAACCTTTTCTTGAGTTCTTATAATAGTGGTCTTATATAATATTTGTCCTTTTGCGACTGACTAATTTCACTCAGCATAATGCCTTCCAGATTCATCCATGTTACAAGATGTTAAGTGGATTCATCGTTGTTCTTTATCATTGCATAGTATTCCATTGTGTGGATATACCATAATTTGTTTATCCATTCATCTGTTGATGGGCACCTAAGTTGTTTCCAGTCTTTTTTCTATTGTGAACAGTGCTGCAATGAACATGGATGTGCATATATCTATTTGTGTGACAGCTCTTATTTCTCTAGGATATATTCCAAGGAGTGGGATTGCTGGATAGTATGGTACTTCTATTTCTAGCTTTTAAAGGAAGAACCAAATCGATTTCCAAAGTGCTTATACCATTCTACATTCCCACCAGCAGTGTAAAAGTGTCCCAGTCTCTCCACAACCTCTCCAACATTTATTATTTTGTATTTTTTGGATTAATGCTAGCCTTGTTGGGGTGAGATAGTATCTCATCGTAGTTTTGATTTGCATTTCTTTAATGGCTAATGATCTCAAGCATTTCCGCATGTGTCTGTTAGCCACCTGAATGTCTTCTTTGGTGAAGTGCCTGTCCATATCCTTTGCCCATTTTTTAATTGGGTTATTTGTCTTTTTGTTGTTGAAGTTCTACA